AACAAGGAGGAGGCTTATATTTAATATCAGGAAGAGGCAGCTGAAGTTTCTGGGACACATAATGAGGAAGGAGGGCCTGGAGAATCTGATACTCACAGGTCGAATAGAGGGAAAGAGCGTCAAGGGAAAACAATGTATAACATACCTAGCGGGCTTAAGGAAATGGATGACAGAACGCGGTCAGAGAGAGGTAGCAGAGGGAAAGAACTTGAGAGCTGCAAGGGATAGAAGAAGGCGGAGAGCCATGATCACCTACGTCCTGAAAGGACACAGCACATAAAAAGAAAAAAAGTTGCTTGATTCGACATCTTCTGTTTGTAACTCGCAGTTTGTAACTTGGGCTTTTTCTCTTTCTGATGATGAGAAAAAAAAAAGCCCAAAATATCACGCGTTGTTTTCGCTTGTCTCTCTTTCCCTCTATTTGACCCGTGCGTATCAGATTCTCCAGGCCCTCCTTCCTCATTATGTGTCCCAGAAACTTCAGCTGCCTCTTCCTGATGTTAAGTATAAACCTCCTCCTTGTTTGCAACCTCTCTAAGATCTCATCGTTGCTCACACGTATCGGTTCATGATATCCTTAGCATCCTCCTGTAGAACCACACCTCGAGTCTCTTTTTCATCTTTTAGGAAATCGTCCAACATTCGTTGGCGTAAAGAAGAACAGATATCACGTAACAGCACAATAGTCTTTTCTTAAAAGTTTAAATATCTGAGAAATGTTTTAACAGAGAATGGAACATGTGACACTGAAATCACACACATACCGCGGTTGTATAATATAATGACCACCCATAGGACGGGACCCCGGGTGGGTGATCGTTTCACTCCGACACTGACCGAGGCTAATTATATTGGAGTAACCCTAAGCAAGGCGGGAGTGCCGCAAGCACGCAAGGGGTTACTGAGAGTAAAGCAAGAGTAAAGAGGGTGTGTTTGAGGAAAGGTTATAGAGAAGGACGGGGAACAAGATCAACGCATCAGAAGATGTCGATTGACATTACATTTGAAGATTATAGCTATCAGAGAAGCAAATGATAGGAAAGGAGTTCCACTGTCGGGAAGTGCGAGATGCGAAGCTGTTGGAATAGAAGAGACGGCTAAATTTAACCGTTTCGACAGTGAAAGGGTGGGACCGAGATGCCAACACAGTAGCTCGCTTAAATTCATGCAGTTTGGGTACCAGTGAGTGGCTGGTTAGGGCAGTTTCCGTGGAAATACTTGTACAAAAGTCATAGGGAAGCCACATCACGTCTATGAGAAAGTGACTGTAGACAAGATGCCAGATCAAGACCTATCACATAGCATATCCGTCTCTGGATTTTGTCGAGGACCTCGAGATGAACAGCGTGGGCAACAGACCATATATGGCAGCAGTATTCAGTGCAAGGACGACTGGTTGATTTGTAGATTTGAAGGATGGACTCGGACGAGAAAACCATCCGGCACGACACAGAGAACCAACTTTCCTTGCGGTAGATGCAGCAATTGATTCAACGTAGTTGTTCCACCTCAGGTCAGTGGAAGGCATGAGACCAAGCAATTGTAGAGAGACGCTCTCGTGGAGTTGAGCATCACCCATTCTGATAGGAATCAGAGAGGGTCCTCTATGGTGGGTAAATGAGAACAGGTTCGTTTAAGAAAGATTCAAGTTTAGTGTTATAATTCAATCGGCACACCAACATTATTATAATACAACGCCAGCCTACGGTCGTTAAGACAACTCCCCTGGCAGTCAAGCTACACTATGTTAATGAGATCAGTCCCCAATGATTAACGCATACTTGTAGTCATGTGCCCCGATCTTCAATACATTAAATAATTTAGGGAGATGTTTCTTTTTACCCCGTTTCCTGCGCAACTTAACTGTTTGCCATTAAGGGGTCTTCATGTCAGAGAAGGAAAATGATAAATGGGAGGAAAGAAAACTGTGTTGTGTGAGAGAACCGAATACTCTGAGAAAATCAGATGCTTTTATCTTGGCGCTAATACCAACCTCTATCCAACGAAGAATTCTAAGGTCTTTCCTCACTTGAGATTAGTCTGGAATAAATGTCATATTTCGAGAACACCCAGTCAAGAATCTTACCAGAATAGCACAGCTCTATAATCCACGCGTCGTCTCTGGATAAGCTTAGAACAGACCGTATGGTAATGGTGGTAAATTAATATTAGCTTTCAGCTATATCACCACAAGGAAACATTTGGCATCCATCGACAGAAAAATTCTGTTGGTTAAAACTTTAAAAAACTTTCTCTTGAATCAGTTTTAAAGAAAATAGTTTTTTTTATGTTCAGTAGCTGTTATAGCTCTTTCCCGTATTCTAGGGAGTTTCCTTCCTAAGCTTTTGTTTGAATTAGTGTGGAATCTCATCGTCTTGATTATGTTGTCATTTTTTCTTCATGATAGATAATACGAGTATAATTATTTACCCGCTGCTTCACGCAGTAAGATGTGGCACAAGGCCGAGTTTAAAGTGGGGTATCCGAGTCCATAGGCTCGGTCAAAAATTCCCTATATAGACCACGAAAAAACGGAGTTAGTTTTCCGAGACGAGACTCTGGAGGATACACTCTGGCATAAGCCAGGTAAGTATAATACCAGTATACATAGTTTTTCTTTTAATTATTTTAATCCAGGGAAGACAATAAAGCCTCTAAGACGTAAAGTGTTAGAGAATAAGAGAAAATATGCTATTAAGGAGAGAAGACAATAAAAGAATAACAACTAAGAAGATAGAAGATAAAGATTGGCATGTCATTTAAATTTTTCAGGGATCAAAGTTCACATATAAGCAAGAAACCGAAATAGTGTGTGTGGTTACAGGATTCTTCTTTTATTTAATGCTCAGTGGAATGATGCCATTTTTGACTTCGGGTATAAACAGAAATAAAAGGAAATAATAATAATATTGTGTTATCCCAAAAATAAATATCCAGAAACAATTCATCATCTTGTATGAAGTTGCACGGTATTGATACCACTGAATATAAAACCCGGCACGACAGAGTGGGCCAATATCTGCACTGGAAAATTTGCAACTTCTAGTGGAAGGAAACTGAAAGAAATTGGTATGAACAACACCCTGACCCGGTTACGGAGATAGGATCTGTTACAATTTTATGGGATTACACAATACACACAGAGAGAACAATCAAAGCTAATCGCGCAGAGATCGTTATTAGAAACCGCAAAAAAACGTCCCTCTTTATTGATATGGCATTCCCTGCAGAATGCAATATATTTTTGAAGATCTTCAAAAACCTATCAAAATACAAGGACATTGAAATTGAAATCTCAAAAATGTGACACAAGTGGACATCAACAATTCCAGTTGTAGTTGGAGCCCTCGGATTGATTGGAAAAATTCCAATAGACTCATTGAAGGGATTCCTGGTAGCCCATGCCTTAAAGAAATACAAAACATTGTTCTCGCGAGTACAACCCACACCATATGAAGAGCTTTATCTGTGTAAAATATAAATGTGTTATAACTGATCCATATACCTATTTATTTGAAATGTTTACTGGTTTCACATCCTGAAATTTGATGATGGATTCTGTGTGTGTGCCATCATTACTTTCATTCCAATACCAGATAATTGTTTCCGCTTTGGAAAAGTTCTTGAGTCTTTGAAATGTTCTCTTTTTTCATCACAATATTATCATCTTTATAATAATGATGATGACTTATTTTTGTAATAATAATAATAATAATAATAATGAATATAAAACACGGCACGACAGAGTGGGCCAATATCTGCAGTGGAAAATCTGCAACGTTTACGGAAAGGAAACTGAAAGAAATTGTTATGAACACCACCCAGACTGGTTACAGGAACTGTAATAATTTTATGGGATTTTACACTTCAGACAGAGAGAACAATCAAAGCTAAGCTCTGACATTGGGATTACAGACCCGCAAAGACAAAAGTTGACCCCTTATTGATATGACACTCACTGAAGACTGGAATGTGTCTTTGAAGATCTTTAAAAGAAAAACTATCAAAATACAAGGGCCTTTAAATCGAAATCTCAACAACGTGACACATGGGAACATCAACAATCCTTGTTGTAGTTGGAATCCTCGGATTGGTTGGAAAATATTCCAGTAGACTCATTGACGGGGTTCCTGGAAGCCCATGCCTTAAAAAAATACCAAACATTGTTCTCACGAATGGCTTTATCTATGTAAAATATATTTATTTCATTTTTTTTAATTGGTCAGTGGAAAATGTCATGATGCCATATCTGACCTTAGGTCTCTGGACAGGACCCGGAAAGAAATGGGTAAACGCCAGAAATCAAAGAAAATAATAATAATAATAATAATAATAATAATAATGAAAGCATTAATATATTGATCGATTGATTCATTCTCTGTGCCTATCAACCTTTTTCAGGTTATTTAGAGTCAGAAAATATTTTTAAATCACAAGGATATTTTTTAGACAGTAATATGCTGTCTACCACAGTATCAAAAACTACAGCTTGAGGTCTACCTCATTTACAAACATAGTATACTGTCTACCGCGCTATCTAACACTTTAGTGTATCTAGCAGATTTTTCTTTCGTAAAAAAAGCGACTGCTGTTTATTTGATCAAGATGGCACGTCTATAAAAATCTTTCAGTAACATTTAAATCTGAAGGTGGTTATCCAGCAGATGTTAACGGTTTCTGACCTAAGGGTGATTCTAATGTGGTAGTTCCATTTCATTCTTTCGATGTGGACAGGGAATACGAGAGATGAGGTGGGGGTGATGGTAGAATTCATCATGGTAGCCAGCCTGCCGACGGCACGAGAAGTGAGGTGAGGTGACTGTATAATTCATAGCGTGGTGGACGATATGCTATAATAGCAATTGAGGTAGACTATAGTAAGTGAGGTAGATTATAATAGTATTAAATGAGGTAGACAGTATACTTTTGTAGTAATTGAGGTAGAGTATACTAGTAGTAAATGAAGTAGACCTTATACTATAGTAGTAATTGAAGTAGACTATATTAGTAGTAAGTGAGGTAGACCGTATACCACAGTAGTAATTGAGGTAGGCTATAATAGTAGTAAGGGAGGTAGACCGTATACTGTAGTAGTAATTGAAGTAGACTATATTAGTAGTAAGTGAGGTAGACCGTATACCACAGTAGTAATTGAGGTAGGCTATAATAGTAGTAAGGGAGGTAGACCGTATACTGTAGTAGTAATTGAGGTAGACTATAGTAGTAGTAAGTGAGGTAGATCGCACACCACAGTAGTAATTGAGGTAGACTATAGTATTAGTAAGTGAGGTAGACTGTATACCGTAGTAGTAATTGAGGTAGACTATAGTAGTAGTAAGTGAGGTAATCCGTATACTGTAGTAGTAATTGAGGTAGGCTATAGTAGTAGTAAGTGAGGTAGACCGTATACTGTAGTAGTAACTGAGGTAGACTATAGTAGTAGTAAGTGAGGTAGACCGTATACTGTAGTAGTAATTGAGGTAGACTATAGTAGTAGTAAGTGAGGTAATCCGTATACTGTAGTAGTAATTGAGGTAGACTATAGTAGTAGTAAGTGAGGTAGACCGTATACTACAGTAGTAATTGAGGTAGACTATAGTAGTAGTAAGTGAGGTAGACCGTATACTACAGTAGTAATTGAGGTAGACTATAGTAGTAGTAAGTGAGGTAGACCGTATACCACAGTAGTAATTGAGGTAGACTATAGTAGTAGTAAGTGAGGTAATCCGTATACTGTAGTAGTAATTGAGGTAGGCTATAGTAATAGTAAGTGAGGTAGACCGCATATTATAGTTGCGCCCAAAAAGTATTACTAATGAATCTATAGCTGTGGTGGGGTAGAGACGGATTCATGCCCTTCCCCAAAGGTATTTGCGTGTAAGTGAATATAACGATCACAACGGGAGTTTGAACCCGGTTCTTCGATTAGCAATTACATTAAATTAACCATTATACCAGCCGCACATCCAAGCTTAGAACGTCTTGTATTCACATGCTGTTATCTATCTAGGTACTGATCAGGTACGGAGTTTTTTTGTTTTTTTTAAACTTCGGTGATCATAAGGAAACAGGTGTCTCGTCGTGTGCATTAAAATGACACAGAGAAGAATATTTGAGTTTTGAAGAAAGATGTTATCACTAAATAAGCATCAATTCCGACTGTAAAATAAAATATAGTCAATGTGGAGTAATGAATAGCGAAAAAATCCCTTCTTGGTGGGATTTCTAGTGCATGACTTATCATCTCTCACTTGCGTCTTTGTCTTTGGGCAGAATACGCTCAGGGGCTTCTCTGTCTAAAGACAGAGGGGCAACTGAGGAAAATTATACTGAGAGGTGCCCAGCCCCGGGGAACAGCTGCCCGAGACCGCGCCCTCCCATTGCACCAGAGGGAGGGATCGGTGTCGCACTGAGGCCACCGGAACCGACCTTTGCGGGGGGTGATGGGAATTTTGTCCCTTGCCCGGGTATACACGCTCGGGTCCCCACTTTAAAAATATCTTGTGTCACATCTCGTACTAGTTGGCGGGGGGGGGCGATTAAATAACGTAATGGATAGCTGCTCTAATTGAGGGATCGGAATGCAGACTTAGAATTCGAGTCAGAGTCATTACATACACACATCAGTCAGTTATGTGCCATGCGTGATACACGCTTAGGCGATCATGTATCTTTCGATACATGACTGACAAGGCAGATTTTTTTCCCGCATTAGGTTGTCATTTTTTCTGCGGTAGATCAGTTGCCATCAAAGGCTATATAACTCGGTCTGTTTTGTTATTTACCCATAGCTGGGGGAGAAGAAGAGGATTCATACCTTTTACAAGGGTAGTAGCACGTAAGTGAATGCAATGGATTCGACTGGAATTCGAACTCGGCTCTCCGATTCCTCAATCTGAGCCACAATCCATTACTCCACCATCAAAAAGTAGTAGAAATTTTATTTATTAACACAACAGCTTTTTATCCCTTTTAGTGGATGCCTTTATTGGTGTATATATATATATATATATATATATATATATATATATATATATATATATATATATATATATATATATATATATATATATATATATTATTATTCCACCGTACGTGCTAATATCTTTGAGAAATGTACAAATCCTTTACTTCTCTTTTCAGCTATGGGTAAATAGCAGGAAAGTCTGAGTTCTATAAACTTGGGTGGCAACCTGTCTAGGAGAAGGAAAAACTCTGAATTCAAAACCGGCCTGGAGAGAGTCGGGCACCGTCAATCTATCTTGCCAAAGAAACTCTAGGACCCTACGGTTCACGGGCCCCAAAATATCGACTGCAATATGGCACTGTTAATATACGAAACTAAATATATAGATGTGTGTTGTGTTAAGAAAGACATTACAAAAAGTAGTTTAAAAAGAATACATTTGAAAATTAAATCATTTTTCGACCCATGCCGGAGGTGGGGATGATTTTGATCTCAGTTGCGTGTGTCTTTGGGTTGAGTGCAACAAAGGAAAATAAAAACTGTCAAGTACTCTGTCCCGGGGGCTGGGCAATTTTTGTCCTTGGTCCGGGTGTACGTGCTCGGGTTCCCACATTAAACCTAACCTTGTGTCACATCTCGTCTCAGTAGGTGGTGGTGGTGGTGGGGGGCTGGGATTTTAAAATTAAATGCGTTCAGAAAAAAATAATGTGTAATAATTAATTTGATCGAAGAGACAAAAAATACAAAAAAAAATCGAAAAGAAAGAGAAGTACAGGAAATTTAAAATTGCTTTTTTCTTAAATAAAAACAAATAAGACGCAACAGAACAAACAATTAAAATGTCGGTAAAAACAAAACAAACAAAAAAACAAAACAAAGACAGAGAAAAAAGCAAAACAAAACAGCACATTCAAAAATACTACCATCCATTTATTTCCCGCCCTTACGTGACTCTAAGCGGTACCACAACTTAGCGATTCGCTAAGCTCGTCAGGTCAAGTCGAGTTGATTAATTTGTCTGTCCAACATTAGTCGCCCAGGTTGCTCACCTCACCCACACTTTCACCAACCTTTCTATTCTAGCCTATCCCCAGCCCTCACGACTGATGTTCCTCTTACCTCTGCTCTTTCTTATTGATCAGAAAATGGCATCAAAATGCGTTAATCGATTCTTCCGTCTTGCCCAGTCTCAGCAGGACTTGACTGAGCTATCTTAACTGCTTAAAGGTAACAAGGCAGTCAGTGGAATAAATAGAATCGGAAGACTCCTAAAGATATTCCGTAACTGCTTAGAGAAAGCAATATATACTATTTACATTATTCGGACTATTGTCCTCATCTTTGTCGTCATATTTATTACAACGTTTCGGCTGTTGTACACTCCGGCCTTCTTCAGGTGGTTGGAATGTCGAACTGAACTCCTTTATTTCGCTCATTGGGGTAGACTGTTCTAGTTCCACGTTCCATGTTTTAATGGATATCAGTTATCTCCTGTTAATTGCCCTCTCCAAGTTCTCCACTGCATTAACCGGGTATTGAACTCGCATTCTTTGGGTCCTGTCACTGGATCTAACCAACGCCTTAATCCAATGTGCCATGTGTCCTTAAGACAAGGACTCTGATCGAGAGATTGGAGGTTTTGAAGAGCGTGGGGCAACTTAAGTTATGGCCAAATAGTGAACCCCTAACCAAACATAAAAACAGAAAAAAATACATATAAATTTTATATAAAAACATTAACAACACATATTTATAGTAAAATTACAATATATATATATATATATATATATATATATATATATATATATATATATATATATATATATATATATATATATATATATATATATATATTATATATATATATATATATATATATATATATATATATATATATATATATATATATATTTATATATATGTATATATATATATATATATATATATATATATATATATATATATATATATATATATATATATATATATATATATATATATATATATATATATATATATATATATATATATATATATATATATATATATATGTATATATATGTATATATATATATATATATATATATATATATATATATATGTATATATATATATATATATATATATATATATATATATATATATATATATATATATATATATATATATGTATATATATATATATATATATATATATATATATATATATATATATATATATATATATATATATATATATATATATATATATATATATATATATATATATATATATATATATATATATATATATATATATATATATATATATATATATATATATATATATATATATAAATGCTAATAATTTTTTTTTATTTATAGTAAAATTATCAGCAATAATTTTTTACTAGATTTAACAACGATACTTTTTATAGCAAAATGAAAAATAATACATTTTTTGCAATTGAAGGCATACAAGTAGCTTCAAAATATATATAGCTGGTGCCATAATATTGTTCAGAATATTGAAATGTCAGCATTAAATAACCCACATAGATGTTGATATACAACTAATATGATCAACCAAGCAACATAGTAAATATTCTTCTTGTAAATCTTTTCCAGTGCATTCGTATAGTGAAGATCGTTTACAGGTCATATATATATATATATATATATATATATATATGAGTTGGACATAATAATTGGAACAGTTGTAAAATCAACGCCTATATTTCAGACCTATTATGTTAAAAACTTTAACTAAAACTTCATAATTGCTGGTTATATCTATTGTAAATACGTTTATTTATATAATTTACTGTCTTTGGCTTATTTATTTTTAGAATTTAGTAAATTTTAAGCGAAATGCATGACCTCTCCGAATTCGAAAAAGAGCATGGCAGGAGCCTCGATCAGTAAGGTTGCTGAACTGTTTGGTTTTTCAAGAGCTACCATATAAAGAACACTGATGCAATTCGAGAAACAGGGCAAGACCTCTAGCAACCGTAGCAATTCGGGCCGGACTTGCAAACTTACTGACAGGGATTGAACATTTGTGGTTCATTTTGGAGCCAATATCCTCCATTGGCGTGTCGTAAAGAGGTGGAGAAGGTTTTAATGAAAGAATTTGGATGAAGTCAGGAAGCTGTATAATTCCATTCCGAGAGGTATTAAAGCTGTCTGTGATGCTAAAGGAGGACCAACGCCATATTAAATAAATTTTCTTTGAATTTAACAAGTGTTCCAATTATTTTGTCCTACCCCTGTATATATATATATATATATATATATATATATATATACATCGTTGGTCAAAATCTTAAACCAGATAAAAAAAGGTTTTAAAAAATTATAAAATACTGTTACTTAAAATATATGTGCGAAACATTTACATTTAATTAGAAAATGTAATTTATCAACAAACAAGTGAACATTTTAAGCTTTTAATTGATTAATTTAAACAAACATTGAAAAAAGGAATTTTTGGGGTGGTCATAAAGATAAGACCATGCGTGAAAAAAAATCCCTGAATTAAAGCTTTAGAACTAGTCAGTGAGGTCATAGCTTCAGGCGTGTAGACATCGACGTAGCTCATTTCCAGCATTAAATTTCAGATTTTAAAATGGCTAAGGGTAAAATTTTAACAAAGTTCGAATAGGGCAGGATTGTTGAACTCCAAAGATGTGATCTTTCACAATGAGCCATTGCAAATAAAATTGGCCGTAACAGAATTACCATTGCTAACTTCATCAAAAATCCGGATGCCTATTCTAAAAAATCAAGCGGTTGCCCCAATAAACTCTTAGTATCTCTAGACAGATGCATTAGGCAAAAAGTTGAGAGATTCAAGCCTAACATCAAATCAGATAAAAGCGAATACAGATGCTAAAAATGCAGCTCTCTAAAAATTCGACGGTATTTAAATAAGAAAGGTTTTAAGAAATTGAAAGAGATGCAGAGGCCTCGCCTTCTTTTTCGCCATAAAATCTCCCGTTTACAATTTGCTTCCGATTATCAAACTTGGGATGTGGATAAATGGAAGAAAGTGTTGTTTTCAGACGAGAGAAAACATTCAATCTTAATGGCACAGACGGTTTTCAGCGTTACTTGCAGTTACCATGTCACAAATCATAATGCACGTAACCAGTCAGAAAAATACCACACCCGCTGACGAACGCCATAGCCAAATAAACGAATTTTCCCCCAATTCGAGAACACCAACTGCATTTATCGACGGAGCATTTTTTTTATTCAACAGCTGGGAAAGAACACACAATATTAAAATATCCGAAATATGTTTATGGCGTTTCCTGCGACTCGTTGGTTTCTAATTCAGATATTAAGATAGTTAGCAAAGACCAGCCTCTCCCCACTTTCCCTTTCGGCCATGGGCCACAATTATTGTATATTATATACAGTAATAAATATATACTTTAAGTGTCTAATTAGTCCTGTTTTGATTGGGTAGGGAGAAAAGATGCATGCTTTTTAAAAACGTTTTAAAAAGAGATTTTATGAATTCTCACCGATGCTAACACTGGCTGTTTGGTCGATAAATGCCGAATGTTTCCATATAAGGAAAAAGCTAATATTAACATAGCAATTTTAAGTGTTATTTAATTCCCTCCCACTTCTTTTCATGAAGCATAAAATGAGGTGGGAGGGAGTAAACCCAGAAAAGAAACTAAAATTAGAACAAAAAGAAACTAAAACAAAACAGATGTTTGTAAGAACCGTCCATCCCCCCACTGATTATTTTGAGGGTTGGACGGGTCTTACTAATTTTAGCTTGTTTTCAGGGTTCATTCCCTCCCGTCTCATTTCATGCTTAATAAAATTTTGAAATATTTTTGTATTTAGAAATTTGAAATTTTTATATTATGGGGTGTTTTTGAAGGTTCCCTTGGTGAGTCTGTGGTATTGTGGTATATGTAGGATTGAATGGTGATGAATGAGTTCTTGTGGTAAATGGAGCAATTGTATTGGATGAATGGGTCATGAGCGGGATTAACTAGGAATAAGATAGCGAAGACCAGCCTCTCCCCGCTTCCCCTTTCGGCCATGTGCCAAAATTATTCTACTTTTACAATAATAAATATACTCTTAATTTGAACATTCCGATGTCGGTATATCATGCAGAATACGTGCCCTTTTTCTCGGTAATTAACTTCCTTTTTCGCCACATTTTTCGTCGTAGAATAGACGCAACACGCTGTCGCTTGGTTTGACGAGGTAATTCGCCGTTTTCTTCGAGACAGACCCAAGAACAATTATTTTTCTTTACACAAAGAAGCCTGTCTCTATTGAAGAAAAATTGTTTCAAATTGTTTTATGTGAAAATTAGAATGTGATACATTTAACAAGGAAAACATATCCTCACTAAAGTTCAGTATTCATTACCAAATTATAACGAGATCTTCTGAGATTGCCGATCAAGATGTAAAGCAAAACTTAAGCAAATATTCAGGTCGACCATTACAAAATCCCTGCTGGTGCATGTTGGGTAATTCTCTTCCCATATTGCCATTTACTCTGGGTCTACATGCTTTTTTGTTATTTCCTCTCTTACTTTTTTTTTAATCTGTTTTAGAAAATTGATTAGATTTATCGTTCTTTATGTTTATTCTTGATGCTTCAATGTTTGCTTCAAGTACCCCCATTAGGAATGGCTGATTTGTTTCGCAAATCGATCTCTTTTATGGCAGGACATCAGTGACTGAATTCATTAATAGTATTTCCAAATGATCCACAAAGACACGTTTATCAGCAACTGTTATCTCTCACTTATTGTGGTAATAATGTGAACTAAAGACTGGCCATAAAAGAGGGAGTCCCACAAGCAACTCAGTGTTGCATTCCATCTTGTTCTGGCAACGCTACCAAAGAGTTTCAGATTTCTCCCTTTCCTTTGGAAAGTGGAGACGTGCCTGATAGGAAGATTGTCGATCTCTCATAAAAAAAAGAATCCTGCCTTTACCCAGGGGAGGACACTCCGGCGTCTTTCGAATGTTAAAAAAACGCTGGAAAAACAAAAAGAAAGCCCACAAATCTTTTGAGACAGATGGATGCGACAAATACTGAGCTCCAATTCTTTTTATCATTTCACACCAAGCAAGGCAATAGAGCTAATAAGACGCTTGGGGGTACGTTTTTTTTTCATAGAATATGATAAAAATAAAAATAAACGGGAATTAAGATGACAGAAGACGACAAAATATAACGGTTGATATTTACATATGCGAAGATACTTTCATGATAATTGTTCTGATAAGCTCTCTTCAAACACCACTCTTTACTCTTGCACTCACTCTCTGTAACCCGTTGCATGCTAGTGAAATGCTTAAAAAATATTTTCATGTCAGTTGTCCTGATGAGCTATCCTCCTTGATGCCTCGACTGTATGGATGTAAGCGTATTGCTTTAGTGGCAATTAGGTCTCATCATTTTAGTGTTGAACAAGCTAGATGCAACTGTAAGTTCTATTCTGATAATTTCCTTTCTCGCATTTCACGATTGTAAAACTCACTACGTATTTCTTGCTACCATGCCACCTAGAATCTTCAAAATTTAAGATGCAACGCCAATCGCCATCTTCTGTCTTCCTTAGGCCTGAGTCTTATAATGTTCTTTCTTATCCCTAATGTCTTCTCGTTTTCTTTCGCACTCAGTAACTGTTGGGGCCACCCACCTTCTCATCATAATGGACTGATCTCTCTACTACTAATAGGACAGTTCTATAGAGTTCTGGGAGATCAGGTGACTATCACACTTCCGTCTCTCTACCGGAAGATACAGTTGGACTTTATACTCTTTCTGATTGTTACTGACTAACCTGCGTTCGTTTGACTACTAATCTCTAATACTTCTAATACCTCTTCAAATATACCAGTATTTTTCCCTACGTGTGTGTTTGTCCTTATTTCAATACACGCACGGGGAAACACTCAACATCTCAACAGTAACCCTTGTGTCTTAGTGGAATTAGCGCCTTGTTTTGGTCGTGAAATGTTTTAATTCAGACAGGTTTTAAATCGCAATCGATAAAAACAGTTTGGAATTGTCCAGTCGGTTGGGTGTCGCTATCTATCAAGACATTGTCCTACATACCGTCTCTTTGTAGACCCGGTAGAAATTGGTACAGATTAACTGGGAAACCCTACTATACATACCTGGTCTTGCACGTTGGGGGTCATCAGTTATTTAAATCCCTGCAAACAGTTCTTATTTAGAAGTTGTTTTTCTTTTCGTTTAAACAGAGAATCGCAAATGGAAATGCAGTGCATGCATTTTTCTCTTTACTCCGTGGGTCGGCCAAAAATCGAAACGATTCTCATATCGAATGATTTGAAATTCATTACAACACTCATATAAGACACGTGGAGTATCTCTGCGATGTCCCGTCTCTTCTAAGATTTATTATTTTGAGTCAGTCTGAAAGCCTTTAAAAACAACTTAGACTAATTCATCACCTGTCAAATTCGAGAAAGATGTAATTATTGACGATGCTTCAAATATGGCGAAATGAAGTGGAACAAAATACTACACTTCTGTCTGAATTTCTGCGATGAAGTCTTATCATTATTTACACTATTTACATACGATCGTATGGGTCTCTCATTCTCTCTCTTCTACACTTAATGCAGGTATGAAATGTTTCCATATTGGGGCCCTCGCTAGACATGTGAGATTTTATGAACCGATAAAGTTTCTCAATTAGATCGGTGCATTCAGTGGATTCAATATTTGGGAGGCAGTTTCTAATTGACGATAAACAGAAATCTCTATGAATGTAATCATATGCTACAGCGTGGGCGACATAGCAAGTATACAATTTCCTATTAAAAAGGTGACATAATGGAATACGCATACATCTGACTTCCTCCTCACTGGAATATGATTGGCTGGTGTCCGTCATAAATACAGACGGATGTGTAGGTACGACAGAGTTTAAGTCTCTGAGGACGCCCATTGAACTACGCCACTGGCTATCCTATTGGTCTACACTAATTGTCTAAGCATATTGCCTGCGACTACGACGAGTACCAGTCGATTACTGCTACCGGGTACTACTTGGTTACAGTAGCCAAAACCACTTAGCTACTTCGATCAAATATATCCCTTTCCGGGACATATCAAATGTATGCCATTCCTTACAGGTGTTTGATAACAATAGATGCCATCAGTACATCTCTTCCCAGAATGATAACCAAGTCGGTTCGTGAGGAGTTGACTTTCATAAAACGATGAGAGCATAGGTAATATAATGTTCATTAATACTTTCACCATCATGGATCCCATTGAGATACCTCTCTATTTGTGATGTGGATACACCGAATCTCGCACGATCACCGAATTTAAGCAACGTTGAGCCTGGTTAATACATAGATGGGTGACCGCTTGGAATATGAGGTGTTGTAAGTTTGGATGTGCGCGCGGTGTAATTGATAATGGCTCCGAATTGTTCTTGGGAGAGACGAGTTACAATTTTAGTTATAGCCATTTGCGGGCAAATACCGTTAGGAAAAGTATGAATCCAGCTCTTCTCCCCCAGCTATGGGTTAATTAGTAAGACTAAACTATTATAATCTTCCTGTCACCTCCCTCCCCAACCGTATTCTTACAATCCCAAAATATATTCTGGCTTTAAATATTCTGCAAAGCGTTGATAATCCGTAGGAAACGAATCAATAAAAAAAATACAATTATTACAACAAAAATATTTTCTGGCTTTAAATAACCTACAAAGGGTTGATAAGCCATAAAAAACAAATCGATCAATTAATTATCTTTGTTGTTTTGACAATAACCACAATAAAGATGAGGACTATCGTCCGGATGTAAACAGTATTAAAAAAATGACGCATATGTGAATGAATAAATCCATGTACAAATATCGAATTATTGTCTTTGAAATTCACTTACAAAAGGCCGCAAACTTTTGGTTCGATCTAATATATTCAGGTTTTTTTTTAAAGTCCATTATCGCACTAAAGCTCTATCGGCAAATTCTAACAGTAGATTTATTTCAGGTTTGCTCTTAAAAATTCACTCAAAATGTAAATCAATTCCATGAATATTTGCAGTCAGTTTCCCTTTCAAAGCTATTTTGCGTCAATGCGAAACAACAACTATTCGTGATCTTTTTTTTTGTTTTCTTCACAATTCTGTTTCAAATTAAGTTCCTACGTAGCATTAGATTCCACAGCATTGATGCATATCATTACAGACTTCTGCATCTCATTTACTGCAGGTGAAATATTTTTGGCAACCATATTTACAGTTTGCGCAAGCAAAATTTCTGAAGTGTCATCATTAATTTTAAACAACCATTTTTCTATAGCGTCGTTATCAGCATCGCCGTCTGCAGTCGAGGACACAATGTTTTCCATTGGTATTTTATTTTCACCCATAAGCTTCCGACTGCAGTGGATCTTTCTAATGATTTACAGAACAACATTTCGAAATAGATTCCATGATCAATATATCTCACACATAACAAGAAGATCGCCTCATTTTCAATTACAATCAATTCGCCCATCTGCTTTTTGAATCTTCTTGGTGTTAACTTGACAGTAAGCTTTTCTGAGTCAGTTTTATTAGTCTCATCTCTTCTATAGGAAATTGCGTCATTATTAAGTCGCATATTGTTGACAGCTTTACCATTTTGCTTCGGTGCTGGTCTGAGAAAAAAAACAAAAAAAAAACTAGCTTAACCATGTATACATAAAACGGCGCGCTTCTCTCCCCGACCAATTAAATCACCCCCAAGTTCTGTTTCGTTTCTCGTCTGCGTCAATGTACACAAACACAACCAAAGGCTCGCAGCACGTTCACAAGAGAATGGAAGGTAAAATCAAAGCCATGACATTGATTTTGATATCAATTCCTTTTTTTACGGCTTATCAACCCTTTGTGGATTATTTAAAGCCGAAACTTGGATAGTAAAAATAATAAATTTTTGCGAGTGAATATTGCAACAACATTTTTTGAAAATAACAATGATTTTTTCATATACAATGGATACTATTTAACTCATACAAATGTAAATGAAGAACACCACGACATGGAATAAAACCACGAATATTGTTTTCAATAATTTGCTTATTTATTTAGTGACCATCTTTAAAATCTCCCTGTGTGTAAGGAGGTGTCACATCGATCCCTTTGCCTTTTCTTCTTAATTCCACGGGTTAAGTGATACGTGATTTGCTTGACGGGCAGCTTCTCACTCCACCAGTGGAAATCTCGAACATCCCACTAAGGTGCACTTGATCCCACAAGTTTATTTATTTATTTGTTTTATTTCCTTTTGTTCAAGTGCGCGGACGCTTTGAAGAGCACACTTTCAGACTTTACTGCCGGCGATAAAAAACACTAGAATATTCGACTCATTCATGGTTCACTTGACGTTGTGTGTGTTTAGACCGTCGTGCGTGTGTCGGGATGGAGGGAGATTGTTTCCTCTCTTATGGAAATATTCCTCCTTGATTTTGTTAAGATGGGAAATTACATAACTAGCCTCAAGTGTGTGACTTTTTTCTTTCAGTTCGTCCATAATGCTTGGTCTGTTTCCACACTTGATGTTTAGCGATTGGAAATACCACAGATTTGAATAGGAAAGATTTCTGTGTATCGCTTTCAAAGATGCCTCGAGGTAGCCATATTTGTTCGCTTCATTGCTCAAACGTATAGAAAGAAAGTTTTCCGATCGAAATACCTAGCTACTATGAAACATAACTTGAAGAATTACACTGAACGTCTTTTTAATCATTTCACTCCAAGTAAGGTGATATAGCCACTAACAAAAATGATTAGCTGGGAAGTCCTACTATAAACACCCGGTCTTGCACGTTGGGGTCACCAGTTATATCAATCCCTGTAAACTGTTCTTATTTGGAAATTGTTTTATTGCGTTTAAGCAGAGAATCGCAAATGGAAATGTGGTACATGCATTTTTCCATTTACGACGTGTGTCTCCCAAACATCGAAACGATTCTGATATCGAAGTGATTTGAAATCCCTTACAGCACTCATATGAGACATGTGGAGCATCTCTGTGATGTCCCGTCTCTTCTAACATAGATTTATTTTGAATGAGTTTTCCATGCTGTTTTTATTGGTAATTGGCAGTAGTAGATATATCGATGTCTTTCCCTGAGATATTAGCGAGAAGTGAAGATTAACTGTCTTAACCAAAATTTGAACCTGTTTCACTAAATCCATCTTCAGTGCTGTTAACAATTTAGCCACCTACATCTTATTAATGTTAAATCTTAGTCATTTAATTAAATTTTGGTTCCCATATATGAGTGCTGATGTCCCACCTACGCCACCAAAAAAAAAAAATTATAAGTCTTGTTTGTTATACAATGCAGTACTGAAAAGTTCTTGTACTAACCAAGAAACCAGTTTAGCCAGATTTTTGAAAATGAAAATGGGCCAAGCTGTGAACTTTTCAACACCCCCTCATACATAAGGTAAAAAAGAAACTTCGAATTTTTTTTAATAAATTTCATGGATAGAGTGAATAAACAAGGAATTCTTAAAGAAAATGACAACAGAATGAATCCTTATTCTCAGAATTGAGAAGAGATTGCTGGAATTCTTTGGACGCATAATGAGGAAAGAGGGTTTGGAAAACTTAACACTCACATTACATCTTGAAGGTGAGAGAGATAGGGGAAGTTTAAATGGATAGCAGAACAGGGACTTTAGCAAAGAGAGAAAAGGTGTTAAAAGCCGCACGAGATAGGAAGTTGTAGAGAGTCATGATCGCTTTCCATCACTGCGGTCGAGGCCTACGGGTTCGATTTGGGAAGGGAACCCAGCTGCATTCAAACCTCTTTTGATGATGTCGTTAATGGCTGCATGCCGTGGAAAGCGGCCGGCACTACGACGACAGGAGAGAGGATGCAAACCAAACCCATCGATGGAGGCTCCACATCTGCATCTGTAATTAAGTAATTCTAGAAGAATCCTCAACAGAATTCAGAAAGAACTAAAAGTCCGTTTCGTCTTATTTTGGGACTCATCATAAGTGTGCATCCACTACTGAGTATCGAACCTGGATCGTTATGATACGACACAAGCGTCATATCCACTGAACCAACGAGGCTCGGTGACAAAGGGGTAACTAACTAGACTCGATATAGCGTCGCTCTTCACAAATTCCGCCGTGTAACTCTTCCAAGTTTATTTAGTCCAACGAGTACGTCTTCTATCCCCAAACAGCTCCATCCAGAGTATTAGAAGCCGGTTCAAGCAATGATATACAAGTGATAGAAATTATATTAGAGCTATCTGAATAATCATATTTAAGTAATTCAACGTCGAAGAATCCTCAACTGGACAGCATTTTCATCCTATTTTGGTACTCATCAGCAATGCGTGTCCTCTACCGAGAATCGAACCCGAACCCATTGGTCCCGTGGGTATGACGCAAGTGTTATACCCGCTGAACCAACTGTGACGAAGAGGTAACTAGACTCGATATAGCACCGCTCTTCCCATTAATATTAATAATTACTTTCTAATTTTTCTCGCGAGAAATAATTTTTCCTGTATGAGTCAAGTTTTCAAATGTGATGTTTAGTGACTTAAAATACATCAGTTTTGTATCTGATTCAATAAGTACTAATAAGTAATTGAAAGAATCACAGGTGATCCGAAATTTTAAACGAAATATTTTCATTTACACTATTTACATTGTTCGGACTGCTGTTCTAAATCTTCGTTGCCATATTCACGACGTTTCGACCGTTATACCCTCTTTTTGGCGAATGTCAAGCAATACAGTATGCTGTTTCGATATTTCTGGTAGAGTGAATTTCGTCATTGTGCCCTTTTTTTCTCACAGACGGTGCCCAACTGACCTTACTATACTGTGCAATCGACAAAACCAAAAACAAACAACGAGCATGTACGAAATTAAAAGCATGAATTAGCGACAATTTACCCATCGCACCCTATATATTAATTTACGCCAATTACATGCCACGTATTGTTAGTAGTTGGGATCATAAATTCGTCATTACAATTGGTTCCCAAAAGCGGAAATTGTTTATGACTAAACCTAATATCTATCTATCTATCTATCTATCTATCTATCTATCTATCTATCTATCTATCTATATCGATCCGTTCATATCTATCTATCTATCTATCTATTATATGTTAGTTTACGCTATTTAACTGTCACGTAAGATTAGTAGTTATGATAATACATTCTTCATTACAATTGGTTCCTCAAAACAGAAATTAATTATGGCTAAACCTAATATCTATCTATCTATCTATCTATCTATCTATCTATCTATCTATCTATCTATCTATCTATCTTAGTTTATACCATTTACCTGCCACGTATGTTTAGTAGTTAAGATGTTACATTTGTCATTACAATTGGTTCAGCAAAACGC